TGGCTTGCTGCCCGGGGCCACCTTGGGACGTTGCTTCCAGCACCAGTACCCCAGCTGCTTTTGCTACCACAGCTGTGGCTAAATTGGCCCTAGGTGTGTCTGGATGTGTAGCTTTGGAAAATACAAGCCAGAAGCATTGGTGGCATCCACATGGTGTTAGGTCTGCAGGCTCACAGAATGCTGGAGCTGTGAAGACTTGGGAACCTCCACCCCAATTTCAGAGGATGTATGGAAAAGTCTGGGGGCCCAGGAAGAGATCTGTCACAGGGGCAGAGTCACTGCAGACAACCTTCGCTAGAGCAATGCAGAGTGGAAACGTGGGGTCAGAGTTGCAGCAGAGAAACCCCATCAGTGCCATGCCTAGTGGAGCTGTGAGAGTGGGATCACCATGGAGGCCCCAGAATTGTGGAGCTACCAGAGTGGAACACCAGCCTGCGAGAGCTAAAGCATCACCTGAGACCAGGAAAGCCATAAGCGAAGCTGCCAGAAGACTTGGGTACCCAACCCCCACACCAACAAAGAGAGGACATTGAACATGGAGTCAAGTTACTAGATTCATCAGCTTTGAGACTTAATGCCTGCCCTGCTGGGTTCTGGATTTGTTTGGGACCTGTTTCTCCTTTCTTTTGGCCTATTTCTCCCTTTTGGAACAGGAACATATACCCTAAGTTTGTCCCACCATTGTATCTTGAGAGTAGATAACTTGTATTGATTTCACAGATGGGACTTTGAACTTTGGACTTTTGAGCTGAAAAAAAACACTAAAGTTTGTTTCAAACTCTCAATGATAGATATCAAATGTTGCTATGCTTATTATCTACTGTGAGAACCATAAAGGATAGACCTGATCTGTCTTGTTTCCTGGTGTATCTTCAGTGTCTAGCAGATAGTAAAAAGCTGTCAAATGAATGAATGAATGAATTTTAAACATTGGCAATTCATTAGCCTTCTTTAAATAAATGCAAAACCTTTAACAAATTAAATCTAAATAATTAGGTCCAATTTTAATGAGAAAGGACTTCAAGGATAAAAGAGTGCATTCTGCAATCTGTTTTATACTTGACAAAAACAGCACTAACTATTCCCTGGTGTCAAACTAAGTCACCCTGAAAAAACTACCCAAGTCCAGTTGTCCTTTGTTAGAGGACATAGCCTGGGCTGTCTATACCAAGTAATTATCAATATAATTCTTACTAGTAAAATCCTAAGATAATTGCTTAACTCTTCCACTTTTCCTTTTCCAGTGTAAATGCAATCAAAGGCAAATAGAAAGAAATCACACTGTATAAACTGTATAAACTTTAGTCCAAGGTGACTTTTTAAAAACTTTCCTCTTAATAAATACAAACCGGAAAAGTGATTTGAGGTAACTATAAAAAATGATTTCTTTCAAAAAGATTACTCTGAAATTGAGCCAATGTTGTTTTCTGTTTAAATTTATCAAGATAATTGCCTACCCACCACAGATTTTTGCACTTAAGCTTTTCATAACTTATTTAGGATATTTGCATCTAGTCCAAATCCTGGCATTGCTTAATATTAAATAAAACTTAGGAACTTGATATCAAATAATCTAAGTATAAAGGTCTTCCTTCATGTTAAAGACACAAGTTATAAGTAATCATATTCCCACAGAATCTGGAAATGGAGACTCCTTTTTAAAAAACATTTCACATGCCAGTGTGTTGGATTATAAACATACCAAATATACATGTAATATAAATTGCATATGTTGTGTTAAACATCAATTCAGCTACTATTGTATAAAATTAAAAGTTACAGTTATAAATATTGATGTTTCCAAGTCTAACTCTTTGTATAAGAATGATCATCTAAAGTATCAAATTAGGGCCAACCAGTGGCTCACTTGGGAGAGTGTGGTGCTGATAATATCCAAGGCCATGGGTTCAGATCCCTATATAGGGATGGCTGGTTAGCTCACTTGGGAAAGCATGGTGCTGACAACACCAAGTGTGACATTCAGTAAATTTGATAAAGCTGGTTACGGTGATACACACACAATTGATGCTGTTTGGCGACTGCATACATCATGATATTTTTAGACTAATGAATTCTCATTTTTAGCAGGGTGTTTTTGTTATGGTGGTGGGCAGATAAAGAGTTGTTAGAAACAAAGGAGTGGAAAAAAAAATCAAGCCTATCCCCCTAAACCTTATTCCCAATGCCCCCAAATGAGCTAGTTTTAAGTCTCTATCAGCATTGATTTTAGAGAGACTACCCTGGGTAAAAACCAAGAGGCTATGTGGTCAAATCATTGTATCCTACTCCATGGAAGAACTCAGCATAAGCAAAAGTTCTTTATGTATTCAAAGGAAGAGCATGTCCTTGAGTCAACCAATATGGTCATGGTGTGATTGATGTCCAGAAAGTGGAAGGGCATGGGCCAAAACTCATCTAAAAAAGGCTGAAAGTCAGAGAGTGAGGAGAGACAGGAAGCATTTAGAAACCACTAAGTGATAAAGAGCTGCATAAATCAGCTTGCTGCATGCCAGAGAACAGCTTGACTTTGACCTGACTTGTGTTTTTAGGTCAGTCCCTCGTCCATATCTGTGCAGGCCTGGAGGGTCCATTTCTTTTGGCCACAGGTAAGTCCATGGGTCCCTGAAAAAACTAGGACATAAGCAATTTTGTGTCATCACTTTGTACCTTGGGAAAGCCTATTCCTTTAATCCTCAGGCACCTGGTGTCCCCAGTCCCCCAGCCCATCAAAATATGCTCTCAGATCCTTCATACCCACAAATTGCTTAACAAAACAGGTGTTCAACATACATTTTCATTTTTCTCCCTCTTTCCTATAGTCAGATTACTGGTGAAAAATGTGCTCTTATTTCTCCTAGAGTATTTTGATTTTCACAGATACCAAATCCTAGAATCAAGGAATGAGAAAAGATAGTGGAACTTTAGGCTTCAACTTTTGTGACTGTCCACTTTATTTGTGTATGAGTTTTTTGGATTAGAGAAAACATCTTCAGCACTCCATGAAGCTAGGCATTCCACCAAGTGTTTACAAAGAATATCTCATCTATTCCAACAACCAAATGAGGTAGATACTAATATTATCCTTGTTTTATAGGCTGAAGAAAGTGGGGCTTTTGGAGGTTGAGAACTTTCCCAGGAGCACATAGCTAGTAAGTAACAGAGCCAGGGCATCTGCTCCGGGGTCTGTACCTTACCCCTGTGCTGTGTCCTGGGTTGGCCCTTGGTGTGAGCTAAAGGACTATACCAGCTGTCTGATGTCAATACGCTTGTTCTTTCCAGGGCCCCTGAGGCTGGTTATGGGTCCCCCATGTAAGGCTGGTGTGGTAGGCACAATAATGATCTTCTCACCCACACCCAAAGATGTCCAAGCCCTAACATCCAGAACCCGTGAATATGTTACTCGAAATGACAAAAGGGACTTTGCTGATGTGATTAAGGCTACAGATTTTAAGACTGGGGAGATTATCCCGGATTATCTAGGCAGGCCCGATCTAATCACATGCATCTTTAAAAGTGGAAGTGGAAGATAGATGAGTCAGAGGGAGTAGAAGGAAGACAAAGGAAGAGAGGGTTGAAGTATGAGAGGGATTCAACCAGCCACTGCTGGCTTTGAAGAAGAGGAAGGAAATGGGCACCTTAGTCTTAAAACCACAAGGAACCGAATTCTGCCAACAACCCAAATGAGAAAAAAAAAAAAAGAAGGGTCTTTCCTTGAGCCTCCAACAAGGAATGAAAGAAGCCTTGACAACACCTTGATTTTAGCCCAGTGAGAATTGAGTCAGACTTCTGACCCAGAAAACTGTAAGATAATAAGTTTGTGCATTTTACGCCATCAAGTTTGTGGTAATTTGTCACAGTAGCAATAGAAAACAAATACAACTGGTTTCTTTATAACAAATACCGTCTCTTTATTCAAGATAACTGAATTTTCCCGATGGCTAGTCATAGAGGGAGGTGCTCTGGCCCTCCTCTCACATGGAAAGAGAAGCAAAACTGCAGCCCCCTGTGGGCTATGAGGCAAATCTGGATTGTTCTCTGTGGTTGGACCCATACCCCAGGGACAGTGAACACAGAAACACTCCAGTATGGAATCTAAATGCCAGGGTTAGTCCTAACTGGTCTTAACATACACAACCTGTTAGTGACTTATTTTCTACTATTTGTCGCCTGTGCAGGTGCTATTAGAGAAATGAAAGTGTGAAATACAGGGCACTGTTACACCTGGTGAAAACCTCTACATTAATGTGCAATAGCAATGACACATTATATTTAATTTCAGAATAAAAATACTTTGCTAAACTAATGGATGATCCTAGATGGATTGATTTTCAATCGTGAGCAGTCATTTTCCTTTTTGGGGGGAGGGGGGGAGTTATGGCTGGCCTGTACGGGGATCAGAACCCTTGAACCTGGTGTTATAACACTGCACTCTAACCCACTGAGCTAATGTGAGCAGTAATTTTCTAAGATCCAACTTCCTGTTTGATAAATATAGAAATATAATAAAATGCTTTTTCCATATTTTCAGTAGAAAATGTTTAAAACAAGTGAGGCAAACAAAATGTAATTTAAATGTATTTAATGAAGCATGGTGATTTTCATGTTTTCTTTCTTTTTTAAAAAAATATATCAATATACATTGCGGTTGATTTTCCTATTCCTTTACCAGTTCTTCCTTTTTCCCTCTCCTTCTCCCCACCTCCCAATCAACATCATATCTGTTCACTTGTCTTAAGAAGTTCAAGGAATTGTTGTTATTGTTGTATCTTCTTTCCCTCCCCCTGTTTATTTGTTTGTATATTTATTTATTTTTATTAGTTCCCACAAATAAGTGAGAACATGTGGTATTTCTCTTTCTGTGCCTGGCTTATTTCACTTAATATAATTTTCTCTAAGTCCATCCATGTTGGAGAACATGTGGTATTTCTCTTTCTGTGCCTGGCTTATTTCACTTAATATAATTTTCTCTAAGTCCATCCATGTTGCTGTGAATGGTAGTATTTCATTTTTTTTTATAGCACAGTAGTATTCCATTGTGTAGATACACTTTTAATACTCTGTCTTAAATTACATTCAGCCTCTACATTTTTCTCCCATCGTCTGGCAAGTCTGTATCTCAGGTTTTGTTTACTTTGTCTTCCCTTTTTAGTTTGCTGACATTTCTTCATAAGACTCCTTCAGCAGAGGGTGGGGGTGTATGCCAACAGGGCTGTGTCTGCAGCGGCTGAGGGTCTCCTGGCTGCCTTATCAGTGCCATGCTCCAATAAAAGCCAGAGTACCCTACAAATATGGGGGTGAGAGAGCATAAGGAAGAGCTTACCTGTCAAATTATGCTGTACCTCTTCTTTCTAACATATGAGAGTTCAAACAAAAGTGTATTATGATTTCAAGACGTTGAAAAATTATCTTACCCTGAAGAAAGAGCTTGAGCAGAACAAAAGTGACCTGATCCCAGGTCTTCGGCAGAATTTTCTTCTCTAGCTGATGGAAGGTATAGTAATAGTATTTGCATCATCCCAAGTTGGTTCAACTTCCTTCTTAGGAACTGCCAAAGTCAACTTCTCCACACCAGCATTCTCCATGGCCGCAGATACAGGTCTGTCTGGTTCCCAGGTCTAACAATGTCTGGCACATAGGATATACTCAATAAATAGGAGTGAGTGAATAGTTGGAGACCTAAGGCAGGGTACTTTTCTTCTGCTTCTCTTTTCTCACCTACGAAGGAATCTAAGGTTTCTAGTGACAACTGGATAAATTATGGCCCTACACTTCCCCAATCTGATAGACAAAAGTTAAATAATATTTCTCTATCTCAATTTTAGCACCAAACTGTGGTCTTTTTTTTCTTTCTTACATTATGTAACAAATACTTGTTTTGTGTCAGGCACTCTTCTAAAAACTTTACAAAAAGAAACTCATTGAATCATTGTGACAACCCTAGGAAATACCAGCTATTGTTATCCTTGTTTTATAGATGAAGGAACAGAGGCACAGGGAGCTTATGTAATTTGCACAAAGTCACACAGCTAAATGGTGGAGCTGGGATTTAGCCCATACAGACTGGATGCAGAGACAGTGCTCCACACACTGGGCTGCCTCACCTTATCAGTGTTTGGTTGAACGATGGAGGAAAGAAGAAATTTGGAATCTAAGTCAAGAGAAAATTGAGAAGAGAGCAATATTTATACAAAGAAATCCAAATGAATACTATGTTTCCAGATACTCCATGAATAGTTGATGTAGGACAAATGTTGCCGCTGTATAAAATGTAGTGATAAAAACCAAGGCTGATCTGAATACCTAACTTAAAAGGATTTTGCTCCTTGGCTAAAAAATAAAATAAAATAAAACTATCATGTTGTGAATCACTTTAAGTACTTGGAAACAACTCCCACCTTCCAGATGTAAATACATACTGTATTCACTTAGGAGGAAATTATACAAACTCACAACTGAGTAAAAGTTATTTTGTTAGGCAATTGTATTAGTTCGCTAGGGCAGTTGTAACAAAGTACCTCAAACTGGGTGGCTTAAAGCAGAAATTTATTGTCTCACAGTTCTGGAGGCTGGAAGTCCAAGACCGAGGTATGAGCAGCATTGCTTCCTTCTGAGGGCTGTGAGGGAAGGATCTGTCCCAGGCCTTTGCCTTGTCTTGTATATGACCACGTCTCCCTGTGTCTCTTCATATCACCTTCCCTCTATGTGTGTCTGTCTCTGTGTCCAAATCTCCCCTTTTGATGAGGACATCAGTCATATTGGATTGAGGCCCATCCTAATGACCTCATTTTAATTTATATTATCTCTGTGAAGACCTTATCTCCAATAAGATCACATTCTGAGGTACTGGGGGCTAGGACTCCAAAATATCTTCTTTTTTGGGTGGGATACAATTCAACCCATATTGGTAGTGTAATATAGGGGTAAGAGTCTGGGTACAAATTCTAGCTCTGCCAGTTAGCAATTGTAAGACTTCACTGTACCTCATTTCCTTCCCTTAAATGAGGATAAGACAGGTAGTATCTTTCTCATGCTGTTGTGAAGATTAAATGCATTAGTCTGTGTAACACGTAGAATACTGGGTGGTACAATACATGTTAGATATTCATTCATTCAACAAATAGTCATTGACATTGTAGGGTAAATGCTAGACATACCCGCTTCCCCCCTGGGAAACTACTCCTGGCCAAGGTAGTTGCCCAAAGGAAAGTCACGTTCCCTTTAAGACAAACAGAAGACTGGAGGAAGCAGGGACCCTAAGTAAATTAGCTGGTGCTAAAGTACTCTGGCACCAGGAAAGTAGCGAGTAGATTAATTTATCTATTCAGCCAGATCTCCCGTGTGCTCTGAGTTATGTGAGCTGGGTGAAAGTCTACACATAAGCACGCAAATGATTTACACCTCTACTTTGATCTGTTCACTATAATAACCGTTTTATGTACCCTGTGGCAGGGCAGATTTCCTGCTGACCAGTCACCATCAGTGACTCCCATAAGTCTAAAAACCAATGTCTTTACCTATTGAACTGGATAAGTTTTTTGGAATAGGCAAACACTACGTGAGTGCCCTTTCAGGTTTGGAGCTCCTGGGATACAGACATTGCTAAGTGCCAAGCATTGTTTGGGGTGCCTGAAATACAGAAGCAAACAAAATAGGCAAAAATCCCTACCTTCATGGAGCTCATAATCTAGTGGGGAAAGTGAAACAATTAAAAATGTAGAACATATAGAATGTCAGATAGTAATAAATGTCATGAAGAAAAATCAAGCAAGACAGAGGCTAGAGACCATTTGGGAGTAAGGGTGCCATTTGAGTAAAGACCTGAACAAGGGGAGGAGACAATTAAGTGGCTATCTGGGGAAAGTTTTTTAGACAGAGGGGGGTTTCTGTACCTCAGCACTATTGACATTTGGGGCAGGATGATTCTTTGTTGTGGGGGGCTGTCCTGTGCATTACAGGATATTTAGTAGCATCCCTGAACTCTATTCACAAGATGCTAGGAGCTCTCCCTTCCTTACCCCCCAGCTGTGACAATCTGTCAGACAACCAAAATATCTCTAGACATTGCTATATATCCCCTGGAGGGCTCTATTAGTCTACTTATAACAAAATACAGGGAACTGGGTAATTCGTAAGAAAATGAAATTTATTGCTTACAGTTTCTAAGGTCGAGCAGTCCAAAGTCCAGGGAACATGTGAAGGTCTTCCTTGGTGGTGGCTTCAGCAACACAAGGTATCACATTGCCAGATGGCAGAAGGGCGGGGGGGGGAGAGAGAGAGAGAGAGAGAGAGAGAGAGCGCTCTCCACATGCTCTTTTAAATCCCTCAAAACCCCCCCAGGACCACCATTAAACCATCAACTTAATCACCTCTTCAAGGCCCCACCTTTCAATTACCACAATAGGATTTCCCACCCTCAACAGTCACAGTGAGGATTAAGTTTTGGGGGGACGTTCAATCCAAGGCAAGGGCAAATTGCTCTTGATTGAGAACCACTGAGACAGAAGAAAAGTGGAAGCCCAGAGGCAGGAGTGGGCTTAGCTGGTTCTGGGCACAGCAAGGAGGCAGACAGGGATGAAAAAGGAGAGGGATGAATCACATCAGCTATAACCTTGAGGCCATTCTTTGGGCAGATGGGAAGTCACTGAATGGTTAAGAGCAAAAACATAGCACAACTTGGCACATTTTAAAAAGATTTCACTGGCTGTCACATTGAGAATTAACTATTAGGTAAAAAGACAGAAGTGGACAGCTAGGTTTGGAAGCTGTCATAATAATCCCATTAATTTTTTATTTGGTTTAAATCATTCACTAAATCAGCTTGGTTGTGGGGGGGTGGGCAACTGAGAAAGTTGAGCAAAGAAGCTCTGGGGAAAAAAGAGGAAGGAGAATTAGCATAAAAGGAAAAAGCTAGCAGTGGGCAAGATACTTTTTGGAGAAGTGGAAGGCAGTACGGCAATTAAGTCCATTGGAAAGCTCAGGGGGGTGTGCAGGCCGAAAAGAAAATGTTGGGGCCAATTTGTGTGCAGGGCCTTGAATGCTCTGCTAAGGAATCGGAGCTCTGAGGAACAGGGAGCGTTTGAAGCTTAAGCAATGACAAGTTCGGCAGCAGGGTGCAGAATAGGAGTCAGGAAGAGCAATTTCTAAAGGAGTGTGCTGAAATAATATGGTTGAGAGAACCTAGGTTGGTGGGGGGCGTAGGGCATGGGCACGACATTCTCAATGAAGAACCGTGAGGTCCTGCACTAAGGCTTGGGCCTTCTTGGGGCAATTTTGTTTGTAGGGCAGTGCAGACTTGTCTCCACTGGGGGTGGGGGGTGTGGAAACGTTTCCACGGTATCAAACATCAAGCCCACACAAGCCCACCAGGAAAAGGTTGAAAAGCGTAGTACACTCTCGGAAAAGATGTACCCCAGAGAAGGGTATGTTAGGTTTCTTCAATGTGTACTATCTGTAGATGAAAAAAACTATGCCGAATTCTGTCAAATAAGGGAGAAAGTAGGCCTGCATCCAGGAGTTCTTTCAGGATGCTCATACATTCCAATTTTTGATTTAAAAATAACTTAGCAGGTTTAGCACAGCAGTGTAGGTACCCAAACGAGTCCCACTAAATTGCTGGCAGGAGCAACAGGGACGCCTGCCTCCTCCTTTCCGCCGGCTTGCGGCACTGGTCCCTTTAGAGAAAGGAGCCCGCAGGAGACACAGCACACGCGTCCCCCGCCAGTCCCTTCTTAGGCCCAGCGGACCGGGCGGTTAACAGCACGAGGCGCCCCGGTGTGGCGCTCGCCGGCCCCGCGCAGGGGAAGGGCGGGCGCCGCGCAGGCCGGGCGGGGCGGGCTGAGGGCCTGCGCCGCAGGGACGTGTAGACGCGCCGCGGTCCCCGCCCG